TATCTCTTCACGAACAGAAAAAGTAGAAACCCGTTTGCTAATATTTTTTTCAAATGTTAAGAGTACTACCAGTAGACGTTAAGAACGCTGCTTCCTGTCGACTTGACATTCCATTTCTCAGTTCAACAATCAGATTAAAGATGAAACGCTTGGCGCAGCGCCGAGCAGAGAAAGCGCTTCTGGAAAAAAGTTTTAAAAAGTGCATGAAAAGAAGCATAACAAAAATTACGAAAACATGTAGCTACTCTGTAACATACCCTAATCGCTGCAACATAGCGTAGCGGGACTCAAAAACAATGACCACTTACAAACTTCCAACCGCTGTGAAGCAAATGCGCTGAATATCGCTATCAGCACAGAAGTTATAAAGCTTTTGCATAGGAATGCCGCGTCACACTAACTGTGGTGTTCTCGATTTGGGAATTTGAGCTGCGACTCATGCTCAAATAAGAGTTCAAAAACCTCTACCTTTTTTCTTTGCATTATTTAGCCATTCAAATTTGTACAAGTGAATAGATAAGTGAATTTTTAGATTAAGGTTACTGTGTTGAGCTTACATTTTAGGTAGATTTTATGAATACCAGGAGGGTATCAAGGATGTACGCGGTAAATGATGACATGCAAATTTTGTCGCTACCTTACATAGATCCAACCTATGTGATGAACTTTGTTCTGCCCAGAGAAAGGTACTCTTTACATTGAATTCCTTGGCTAATATCTGTAAGTGCTGTTTTAGATTTGGATTAGTAGGGCTTCTGAAGAAGTTAAATGGGACCGCAATACAGGCTTTGCTATCAAAGCTTGAGAAGACTCTAGTCACTGTATATGTTTCAACCTTGAAGAGCCATTTGTAAAGAACACATGAATTTTCTCAGGTTAGCCTCCCGAAAATGAAGATTGAAGCAAACTTCAAACTCAAAGAGGCTTTGATGGCAATGGGTATCACAGACATATTCACTGCTGATGCTGACCTAACAGGGATTACCAAATCGCAGCCAAGCCTTTACGTCTCCGATGCAGTTCACAAAGCTCTTATTGAGGTGAGTGTGTTGAAAACAATCATACTCTAGTTAT